CGTCCCGTGACAATCTGCGCCGTTCTGAAGCCGATTCTGATCATTGTTTTGGACAGATATGTAACCATGGATGAGAACTGTTTTCAAAAATGAAAAAGGAACTAGCCGGGTGTCATTTTCCTGTAATCGTGAGCGACTTGCTTTTAGAGTGACTGAAGAAAAGTTCTTCCTAACCGGCATTCAGGCCTTGCAACATCATTGGCAAAAAGAGTGTATACCTCGAAAGAAAAATAAATGGAAACCATCGACTTTGTACAGGTCTTTCACAGATCGGATTAGAACTTTTCCGTCTGCTCTCTAGGCTTTAGGAGACTCCCGCTCTGTCTATATCGGGATGTGGATGATTCCCCGGCAAAATGACATATAATATTGATCCACAACTGGACATGAGCCATGACTGCCGCTTGTATTATTCATTTTACGTCGCATTGTCTTAGACCTTAAACATTGCGTTACTCGTTGTGAAGGGAGATGGCTGGCACCTTAGTGAAAGGTGATTTTGTTCTTCTAGGGGTAGCGATCTGATGCTTATTTATGGAATGGGGTCGCAACCAAGAAAAGTCTGGGAACCACTGAGTTACTAGAGTATTATCGCCTAGAGTTCGAATCCACACTTAAGTCGAGAAGAACTCTCTAGATAGCGCTATTGGGCTCAAGAGGAGACTGTACACTCTGATACTTACAAAGCACGTTAAAGACGCCTCGACAGTTGGAAATCGACGAAGAATATGAGAAACTGAAATTAAATGAAATGGGGTTTAACATCCTACTATTCTGCTCCAACTAGGCTAATTAAAACGGGTATACGCTATATACGGGGTTCGGATGACATAGTGGTCTGGAGTATCACGCTTCGAGCTCGAGCTGCCCGCTCACCTCTGGCTAGCGGTCGTGGTTTTGATCCCTGATGTGAGCGTATGTGGCTTGGAGATAGGGGCGCCTTCCACAGAAAAGACCCCCGCATGTGCCCTAACATAATAGAATAAGACAACTTGTCTGCGATATTACCATCGATGGAAGCGGACTTTAAATACTAATAGAAGAAGAAGAATACACTGTGCTTTGAGGGGGTGGGGGTATATTGAATTTCAACTGCCAACGTGTACACGGGACCTCGCTTTTCCATCCCATCCGAACGACTATGCGTTGCCCCTTGTCACGCCCTCTTTAAGGACCACTGACAAAGGGAACCACGCCGGAATATCCCGATGACCTTTCTCGGTCATTACTGGGATCGAACATGGGACCTCAAGGTTGGTGAACAACGTCATACTTACAGAGCTACCGCCGTTCCCTGGATGTTGTTATGTGTGGTGGGGTCCTCCTGCACCTACTGTATGTAAGACAACTTATTTACAGTGCGTTAAAACCCACTCTGCGATATTTATTCTTATACTTATGAAATTTGTTAGTGAGTGATGAGATCATGGATAGGATTATTATTGATCAGCAATGACACGACTATAGCGTGAAATAAGCGTCAAATATTCCCAACACGCGTCAATAATCTTATCTCCCCTTGTCACATACGTCATAACATGACATCACCAATCCATTGATGCCATTGAATTCTGCAAACTATAAATACCACCAGTTCAGTCATAACTAAATAATGAAAACAAAAACCCAAAGGATATGACGTAAGAATTGATATAATCATAAAATAATAAATTACAACCTGACCGATATATCGGACTATTGTATACGCTTATTGTTATGTAGTTATAAAAATAATCAATAACAACACAACATAATGGAGTTTAATTTCAGGAGAGATTTCCAGGACAAAACATTGGAAAAAAATAAGACCCGTTATGTCTAAAATATCCATCATACTTGCACGATCTGTTTAAATAGATCGCATGGCGTTTACCGATTTAAAGAAGCGTTATCTCTCTCGCCAACAAAAATAAAATGTAATTAATTTTGAATAATATCATATTCGTGATAACCATGGTCTATCCTATGTATTGAATATCCAAACGCCGGTCTAGTTAAAGGAGGCAAGTCTTTAACTCAGTATCATCCAAGTCTTAGACATTGCAAACACAACTTATTGGTCATTTGTTTTGTTATTTTACCATGAAAAAGTGGGCTTCTGATGTGCAATATTTAAGACAAAATGAAAATTATAAAATTGGCACACGAATGCATTCGAGCGCCATTTGCAGTGACGCGACTCGATGAACTAGGCTAAACGTATCCCACACAGGAGAATACTACCGGTGTAGACTGGAAAAACCAGACGCCAAAGATTGTCATTCAATTTGGACTCTGTGTATTTCGGCGAACATAAATGATTAGCAACTACAGTAAAAACAGAATCGACTGATGGTAAATCAGTTTATATACATTCACAATACATTATTATATGCGTCGCAACCCATTTGCGTCCATTTCTAGGTGCCAAAGAATGGAGATTTAGCTCCTTTAAATTCTTTGAACACATTTAAAACGTTTACATCTGGGTGATGGTTTGGCAAAGTATTAAATAATTCCGTGACCTTAATTAACCCCCATTTATATCTATTTCATACTGTCTTCTATATTTCTTTAAATATCTGTCCCCAGTATTCTTTGATTTACACTTTAAATTGATCTTATATATTGTAATTAACGTCTACGGTCTAAAACGTTTTAGTTACCGTGTTATATTGTTTGTATATTTACATAATATAGACCAGTGACACGTCTTGCAGAAATGTAGGACACTAACTATCGATCTTTGCAAGAAAAATTGAGAAAATATAATATTTTCAACCATTTAATTTCACCCAAACGTTGTATTTCGGTAATGTGTAAGTTTCTTAGGATTCAATAAGTTTGTAGGTGGCCTTATAAACCTATAACGGTAAATCTCTTTGATCTTTGGGGTATATTCTATGCCCGGATTAATTTGCGGTCTGAAAGTCGGAGTGGCTTTAGATAGATACAGGGGAATTCAAGGTTATTCTTCTGAAAGTTTTTCTTTAAACCTGTAACGGATTATTCTTGCAGGGTAGGGGTTTTTTCCATAAGAAAACATGATATAAGGTTTTTCTTACTGGAATTCTGGGGTATTCTCATTGTACGTACATATTCTCATAGACGGTTTATAAGGAAGATAGGGGGTCACGGTGCATGGCTAAGTGGGTAAGACGCTGGCTCGCTAGCCTGGAGGTTGGGTGTTCGATCCCTGCATTGGCCGAGAAAGTTCATCCAGAGTTTCCAGCGTGGTTTCCTGTTGTCAGTGATGCAGGACGGAGGGCCTGACAAGGACAGCTGCCTAGTCGTTCAGGTGGGACGAAAAACCGAGGTCCCGTGTACACATTAGCGAGCACGTAAAAGATCCCTTGACAGTTGGAATTCGATATAAGAGTAGGCCGTAGTGTCGCTGTCCGGGCAAAATTTCGCCTTTTTCATCGCGCATCGCGCGTCGCTTTTTAAAATTATATTTTATTTATAGATTGACTTCCATTAGGGGGGCTTCATTGTTTTACATTTTACAACATATGCTTAATGACTTATACACTGCAGGACGGAGGGCCTGACAAAGACAGCTGTCTAGTCATTCGGATGAGACGAAAAACCGAGGTCCCGTGTAAACATTGGCGAGCACGTAAAAGATCCCTTGACAGTTGGACTTCGATATAAGAGCGGGCCTAGACAAAATTTCGCTCAGCACACTGTATGGCGTATGCCCGTCTTCATCAGCCCAGTTCGGAGCAGAACAGTGGGACGTTAAACCCCATTTCATTTATAAGCAAGATAAAGTCCTCGACTTCTATTATGCCTGGGAAGAAAGACTTCAGAACAAAACCTTGGCAGAAAAACCTCGTGCTTTATCGTACACATAATATACAGTGTGTTTTAACTCTATGCAAACTGCTAAGACTGGGCGTAGTTGTTTGTTTTATAAATTAATATTGTCACAAATATCTCCTTACGGGTCAGTGCTCGGTTTTCCGATAATTACAGGATGTTCAAAATTAATCACATTTATTGTGTTAATGAAGGTGAGTGTGCTTGTCTTGAAATAAGCCATTCTCAACAGGTGCGGTGATTGTATTTTGGACAGATTGTTAAATTATAGCTTATACAAATTAAAAAAAGGTCATCGACTTTTCCTCTGTGTAAGCTGTGTGTGAGAGAGAGAGAGAGAGAGAGAGAGAGAGAGAGAGATGGGGTTTAACGTCCACTCGACACAGACCAGGACATTTCGGGAGTAACATATGGTTTAATTTTATTTCAATAATTCGCTTGCGCATAGGGGTCTATAGCAGTGGGAGGAAACCGGAGGACACGGAAAAAACCAATGAGGTTAGACAGGCAACCCTACTCCTTGTCACGTACAAGCGGGTATTCGAAACCACGCCAATTGACTCAATGTCAGGCCTTATGATACAGCGCGCACGTGCTAACCATTCGGCCCTCCATTAAGCCCCCGGCAATCAATAGACAGGTTAAAAAATCTATTAGCATGCTATATTATCTATTACTTTTTTAAATGGAAAATAGCTAGAACGCCACCATAAGTCGTATTGCAAAAACGTGAGTGAATGCCCCCCCCCCCCCTCATTTAAAAAAAAAAATACAACAAATTAAAATAAACAAAAGAAAGGTGAATGTATACTTTTTTTAATAAAAAAAGACAAAAACACAAATCAAGAAAACCAACCAAATAACCGAGACAACCCGATTTGGAAGTAATCAATATAGAAAATTGAATGCAGCGTTAGTGAACCAAGAACGCAGTTAAAGGGAAATAACTCTAGTTTGCATCGCATCTTGAATAAAATTCAGAAGATATTCATATTACTTTATAATGTTATATGTAGGCTAGATATGCTAAACCATGCAGCGCTCCTATATCGTACGATCAAGGAAAGCGTCAGGACAAATTGTAATAAGTCGTTTGAAAATAATTTGAGATTGTCTTTGAGTCAAGCGACAATTTGGGTTTTTTAGAGTAGTCTCCCCACTGCAGCGCTTTTGACCAATCGAATTTCAGTAATAAATGTCAGTGCGTGATGACCAAAACGAAAATGGCGGATGTTGACAAGTGGATTGAAATTGCAAAACAGTGCAAATACTTACCAGAAAATGACCTAAAGGTTGTAAAATTGCCAACTCCTTCCTTTGAACCTTTTTAATCTTTACACCCAATAATACCTGCTCCTCCTGTGGACGTGTCACAATCGATTGAGGAGGGCGTTCACGTCCCAAATTCACCAATATTTTTCGAGGACGATTTTCTAAGAATCGTGCCATGGCCATGCATTATCGTTGCAATGTTAAATAATTTGATTATTTTGTATTTGTACGACCAGGTTTCAAAAACACAGATCTAAATCTAAGAGTTTTGTTTTATAGATAATAATATTAAACGAACGGATTTCTTATGTCAATAGGCAGGCCAAATATTTACAACAGAATTATGATGACTGAATCCTGTTTCAATTCAAGAAGAGGAAATAAAATGCCATTCAATAGTAATAGTAATAGTAATAGTATATATTTAACTAGTAACAGTATGGAAACATCCATACATTACTTTCAAGTAATGAAAAGCTGTGCCAATCACATACCAAAACTAAATATGAAATGTTTGAAATAGATAGCCACACTTGTATCATAGTTTGATTTTACACCTTACCTGTTAGTGGTGAGGTTGGTTGCTTGTGTATGTGACTCGAGTGTAAAAGCCTCTGTTATGTACCTACTTAGCTTCCAGTCTCCACATGGAACCTTTTTTACGACTTAGAATTGATCATCACTCCACTCTGACCCTGTATAGTTTTTGAGGACACACAGTTAAAACAAATAACTACGTAAAATAAACATGCTGCTGCGCTTTTAAACTTCTTCCCTAGCTTAGGACCAATCATTATTTACAGGATAATTCTACAAATTATATAATATATCGTCTCACTTGAAATGTCAAAATTCTGTGGAAATGATCACAATTTTGAATTTAGAAATAGTTATTTTATTATTTGCTTTGACATTTTATAGTAAAGTAAAATAGTCAACCTTCATGTGCCAGTTCATGCCATGAAGTTAATCACATGGCACTGAGAGAAACTAGTGTCTGAACTGTCGTAAATTTTAAATGGATTTATTTGATTATGAACAAACTACTTAAATTTGGTTATTATAAACTTACCTGTGTGTTTTAAATCAACTCCCGTTAAATAAAATCCATTGCGCTATGGCCTACTCTTATTTCAAATTCCAACAGTCAAGGGTTCTTTTATGTGAACACCAATGTGCACGTTATCTTGGGTTTTCGTCTCATCCAAGTGAATATACAGGGGTGCACAATTTCATGACAAAATTTGCTAGCCCTACAGAAAAATACACCTGCCCTGAATATAAAAGTGAGGTTTTGTTTTTAATTTATTTTAATGACTAATCATAAAAATAATAACAAAGTAACAAATATTTAAGCATCCAAATGTTCCAGTACTGTCTCAACCTATCCATATTATCATCAATAATGTATTGGATGCTATAATTGTAATAGACAGTCCTCCCACTGTTAAAGACCCCTACCCGCAAGCGAATTATTGAAATAAAATTAAACCATATGTTAGTCATGAAATGACCTAGTTTGTGTCGAGTGGACGTTAAACCCCATCTCTCTCTCTCTCTCTCTCTGTGTAATAGACAGTAACAAAATATCAGAAAAAGTTTGTGTTGTTCTATCAGTCGTTTTTATAGCTACAGGTTCAATTTACCCTTACAAACTCGTTTTTTCTCATTCAAGCGTATGCCATTTTGAAAATGAAATATTACAATACAAGAATACTAAATTAAACTATACATTAACTAAGTCAAATAAATAGCGTTTTTTCAGATCATGCGATTTACGGACCACTATGACACAATGTCATTCAGTCTACCGGTACCTCTCAATATAGTTAGCATTTTTCACATTTCTGCCTAGATAAAGTATATTTTAATCAGAAAATCAATGATTCCTTTGGAAAGTCAAAGTGTGGGTATACATAATTCGTGAAAAAGGGATAATTCTATCAATACCACCGGTCGTGTGGATAAGTGAGCTAGAAGACACGTGATGTAAAAACGCTATATTATTACGGCGTTTGCAATCTTTGTGAAATGAACACTTGGGAGTTTATAACAGTATTTATTGCTGTTTATTTATCATTAAACAATAAAAGGAAGACATATTTTCACAAAATACATAGAAAAAAAAAAGCTGTATCTTTGGTAAGGAATGATGTCATTCAACAATACTCATTAATTTTAGAAAAGTTATTTTTAGTACCGGAAGCTATTACCAGTAGAACTTTCGTGTGCTTAGTAAGTTATTCTGACTGAAGTTAGTCTATTTGGCTATTATTATTGCACGGACTGGAACTAAAATGCGTTAAATAATCACAAAGTATTGTTCGATCACAAAGTATAGTTCAATTTCGAAGAATTGCTATTAGAGAAAATCGGCCTGTCCCGCGGGCGGATGGAATGCGAAATTTCAGCTGTACAACAAAAAAATTAACCTGTGTCGGGCGATGGGAATTGTGCACCACTGTATATGTATATATTGCCAAGCCCTCCGTCCTGCACCACTTCCACTGATCCCAATGAATTTTTGCGGCCGACACTGGTGGAATCCAACACTGGACATCCAGGTTAGCGAGCCAACATCTTAACTCACTGAGCCACAGCGTATCCCACAACACAATTGATGTAGCCGCTATCAATAGCATAAGACTTTTAACATATCCCATGAAAGGAACGATCAATTAAAAATAAATAAGTTTATGATATACTGTTATTAATGTTTGTTACTCCCAGTTAGCCTTACACCAGTAAACATAAAACTAAAGAAGCTTTTAAATTAAGTGAGTAGTAGTTGTTTTTTTGTTTTTGACAGAAATTATGTGATATGGTTTGTGAATTATTATTAGAAGAATCAAATGTACAACCAGTTTCTACTCCAGTAACAGTTTGTGGTGATATCCATGGACAGGTATATTATTTCAATCTTTATTAAAAACTTTATAAAATGAATGATATTTTTCACATAATTTTTAGAGATTTACCTTCCTACTTTTCTACGGCATGTTGTGATGGTCATTTCTGTCATCTATTTCAAATTCTGAGTTTCAAGTTTTGGCCAATAAATTCTTTAGGATTTTTCATCATTTGATTCCATGTAAACTTTAATGTTTACGTAATAAAAAGAACCCTTCAAATCACAGTTGGGATTCAATGAGAAGGAGGTGGAAATACAACTGTCCGGACAGAATACCCTCATACCACACTGCATGGCATTTACACATCTTCATTATCTAGATTGTTTCAATGGCATTTAGTAATTGAACTGGAAAATACAGGTCACCCTTCTATGAAATACAATTACTGCTTATTACTGAGGGACATTACGATAAAGATAATGACTAGAGAGGCCTAGTTGAATGGTCGCTCAGTAATAAGCAGTAATTGTATTCCATAGAATTGTGACTGTATTTTTCATTATCTAGTTTATTGCAGAAAAGTTGGATGTTAAACTCCCGTTTCATTTCCATTCCAAAACTGGCTAGACTTTAATGTGTCTGATTGTTTGTGGTCTCCAGTGGAGACAATCTAGCTGTTACATTTGTATTAACCAGCTATAATCACTAACTAGTTCTCCTTTGTATTCAGGCTTTGTACATTTAACCAAAGACAATAATGTCTGACGGTTCATTCCCATATCGCCGACTCACCGAGTTTTAGGGGAAAAATTTTGATCGACGTTATGGGAATGAGTGGCCAAGAACAATAGACCCAAGCTGAAGGATAAACCTCATTAAGCAGATAATTTTGGGAGCATTTATTTTTTTTAATTTATAACCAGTGCCGGACTGGTGGGCCGAAGGCTAGGTTCTCCACCCAGGAAAATTTTGAAAATTGACAACAGCATACCCATTTTCCAAGCATTTCAGATCAAAGCAGAAGAAGGCAAATTTTTGATTTCCTGATACAATTAGATTAAAGAATGACCGAAGAGCACTATCATTAGATGAATTTGAGAATTCTCTTCCACCTAGGGTGATATCGTAGACAAAGATGGTTCCTAAGAAACTTACTGGAGGAAGCCGTAGGGATTAGGCTTGGTCCAGTTTAATTTGAGACATAGTGTCTTAGCAGGGAATGCCCAAGTTAAAAATGTCTTGGAATGATTTACGTATTTATACTTATTGAGAAACAATCACAATGAACTGAATTTCGATCACCTGTCAGCTTCATGTTGAACTGCTGCCTATTATTTTATTAATTAATGAGTGAGTTGAATTCACAAAATTCAAGTTCATGTAATTTAAGTGAACTATATTCATTTTATTAATTAGTGAGTGAGTTGACTTCTGATCAAAATCAATTTCAGTGAACTATATTAATAATGACTGGTCCCTGCCTCATTAACGCTTTTAATCCGTTTTAATCTCATCAAAGGGTGCCGTGGTCGACTTTCCAAAATTCGGTGAGTCGGCGATATGGGAAGACCCCTGTCTGACATATTTTCTTCAAATGATTTCTTGTTATTTTACAGTTTTATGATTTAATGGAATTATTTAAAACTGGTGGACAAATGCCAGACACTAATTATGTTTTTATGGTGAGTGTTACAAGTTCCACATTCTAAGCAAAAAATAAAATAAACTGTGATTAAACATTTTAATACTAACGAAATATAACCGTGTCTAGTTTTCAAGTTAATCTAACTGCTGAATCTGTGATAACATTATTTTATATTGTTAAATATAACAACATAGGCCAGAAGGTCCATAAACTAGTTCGCCCATTCTGACCACAATTGAATTTTAATTTTAAACTTGTATTTTTCAGGGAGATTTTGTAGATAGAGGTTATTTTAGTTTAGAAACTTTTACTTTATTACTTACATTAAAAGCCAAGTAAGTTAAACCTTTATTACCAGGGTGGGTGGGGTTGGATTGTTAACACGTGCACATTGGATCAGAAGATCTGTCATTGGGTCAAGTGGCATGGTTTCGATTCCCCACTTGTACGTGACAAGGGGTAGGGTCGCCTGTCCAACCTCATGGTTTTCTCCGGGTCCTCCGGTTTCCTCCCATGAATAATTTAAATAGAATTGAACTATATGTTAGTTCCGAAATGACCTAATTTGTGTTGAGTGAACGTTAAACCCCATTTCTCTCTCTCTCTCTCTCTTTCTCTCCCCTTTATTACCATACTTATTTTGGAACCCTTAGTATATTTAAAAAATTTTGAAATACAGTTCTCACTCGCGACAGATGGTGCCTGCAATACTGGCAAGGAAAGTCCACCCATGTAGATATTGGCTTGCACATAAAAGACCACTTGACAGATGGAGTTTTAAGAAGAGTAAACGGTGATACTGCAGTCTGGGCAATTTTCTCACCCACACATTGTGCACTTAAAGAAGCTAAATCCCTATTCTTTGGCACCTAGAAATGGACACAAATGGGTTGCTATAATAATGTAATATGAATGTATATAAACTGATTTACATTCAATGGTTTCTGTTTTTACTGGTTTTCTAATCAGTTATGTTCGGCAAAATACGCGAAGAGTTCAAATTGAATGACAGTCTTTGGCGTCCAGGTATTCCAGTCTACACCGGTAGTATACTTCCGGTAGTATAGTATCCTTCATTGTTTCACTTCGTTACAAATGGCACTCGAAAGCATTCTGGCACATGATTCGTGTGCTAATTTTAACATTTTTATTTTGTCTTAAATATTGGATATCAGAAGCCCATCTTTTCACGGTAAGATAACAACATCAGTGTTGATTTAAATTTGCCAATAAGTTGTGTTCGCAATGTCGAAGAGTTTGTATGATATTAAGTTAAATACTTGCCTCCTTTAAATATCAAAATGAGATTAACTGCAGTATTGTGATGAGACGTTAAACTCTATTCAGTTCCATTCTATTTTTAAAGATGGATGTCATGTTTCGATAAGACAAAAAAATAAATGTTTTAAGCCAAGGGATTTTAAAGATGTATTATGTATGATTAGATAAAGAGCTGACAGTTTCTGCTATAATAGTTCAAAAATATATAATGCAAAATGTTGGAATATATTGAATATTTCGGCCAAATAACTTTATTCAGAGTGAAGTTATGAATGTTTAAAGTTTTGACAAGAATAGTGTTGTCTTGATTGTCATTGCTACGATTGTAAATGAAGTCTCGATTTTCCATTTAAGCGTTAACCGATTAAATAGTGTTGGTGTTTTAATCAAATTAATGTCACAGCCATCAGATGGCTAAGAGAGTTGATTGTGGGCTTGTCATGTGAATAAATGTCTAAAATATAATTTATTTTACATTTGAGACATTAAAAAACCTTCAATAAGCAGATTTAGCTATTACATAATGCATCTTTAATGTGGACTTTTTAAATTTTGATTTTTTGACAATGGCACTAGTTTCTAGCAAAGTCTGACAGAATCACCCTGATAAAGATTTGGTGAGTATAAGGTTTATTGTAATATTGATGTTTCTATATTTCAGATGGCCAGATAAGATAGTATTATTACGAGGTAATCACGAAAGTAGACAAATAACACAGATATATGGTTTTTATGGTACGTTTCTTACTATTATTTCCCCTAATAGTAGGACAGTGGGCTGATTTCTACTGATCATTATTTGTATGTATTTGACAATATTTAATTCAAGTTAAAATATACTCAGATATCAATCACTAGATCATCCACCCAGCTTTGATTCCATCGAAAGACTTTACATCACACTTGGTTTGTTATACGTCCACATTCATAATGTGAACGTATTATGCCGTCGCCCCTGTCTGTGTGTGTGTGTGTGTGTGTGTGTGTATGTATGTATGTATGTGTGTGTGTGTGTGTGTGTGTGTGTATGTATGTGTGTGTGTGTCTGTGGTTCGCCTACAGGGCGCAATTCTTCATGGATTTTCTTCAAACTTGGTATACTTATTCCTTATACCCCAAGGAAGATCCCTATTGTTTTTGGTGCATGCCCGACCCCCCGGGGCAGAGCCACGCCCATTTCTAGTATTTGTTTGTTTGTCGTCTACAGGCCACATTTCTTAACTAATAATCTTGAAACTTTGCATACACATTCTTTGTACCCTAAGGAACATCCCTATCGTTTGGGGTGCATGCCCAACCCCCAGGGGCAGAGCCACGCCCATTTTCTTTTCGTGTGTCTTTGTGTCGCCTACAGGGCGCAATTCTTACTGGATTTTCTTCAAACTTGGTATACTTATTCCTTATACCCCAAGGAAGATCCCTATTGTTTTTGGTGCATGCCCGACCCCCAGGGGCAGAGCCACGCCCATTTCTAGTTATTCTTTAAGTGGCATTTAGCGATCAGGGAACAAATTAACAGAACACAGTTTTTATGGGATACAATCACTAGTTTATTCTAAAAGCACGACGTTTCCACAAGTATTCTCTTATCGTTATCAATCAAGCAAAAAAAAACAAAAAAAAAACGTCATGCTTTTAGAATAAAGACATCGATTGTTTTAAAATAAAAATTGTGTTCTGTTAATGTGAACGAAATGTTATACTGATAGCAGTCCTACAACCCAGTTTTATTTCACAGACCCTCAATGCAAACTGGACCATATCAAACAAAACAGGAATGTGGACGTATATTGCTGCGTTAGCGATGCTCTTGTTTATATTTGGAGTGGGGAGGGGTCAAATGGTGTACGCATTGCATGATAAGGTCTTATCATTGAGTCAACTGGTTTGATTTCAATTCCACATTTGTACGTGACAAGGAGTAAGGTTGCCTATCCAACGGGTCCACCGGTTTCCTCCCACTGCTAAAGACTAGTACACGGAAGCAATTGATTAAAATAAAATTGAAACATGTGTTAGTTCCAAAATGACCTAGTTTGTGTGTGTGTGTATGTCTCTCTTTTTGTTTATATTATCTACAGAGGATTAGGAACTGATTGTAACAGAACCATTTTACAATCTGATATTCTCACAATATTGTAGTTTACAACAGATTCCATCGACAGAGGACGTGTCATTCTATATTTTACACTGAAGTCGATTTTTTATTTACTAATTTTAGTTTTTGGCTAAAAGTGTTGACAGCGAAGTAGATCACCAAAATCAGTTATACCTTATCATTGGTTCTATCTGTGGATATAAAATTTTAAATTTACTCATATACCTTCTTCACAAATCAACACTTCATTGCCTGTTAAAGATATGTACGCTACAAGCTCATTTTGATGAAGAGAGATGTAAAGTAAAATTGTAAATTTACTTTAATTTCAAATCATTGGATTCTTTGATAATATGAAGTATTGTGTTGATGAGGCCTTAAACACCATTCCTTTTATTTTTTAGATGAATGTCAGACGAAATATGGTAATGCGAATGCATGGAGATATTGTTGTAGGGTATTTGATTTATTAACAATAGCAGCAGTAAGTCAATTATTTTATCTGATTTTTGTAGAAAAAACACCCTGGGTAATTTGTCATTTAGTTATTGAACTGGTCACTACATTCTATGGAAGTGGTTAATTTCTTAACAGGAATTCTCTAGGCGTTACTTAGCTAATTATTAGTAATAAACACTAATTGCATTCTATAGAATTGTGTCCTGCCAATATCCTAAATCTGAGGGGGGTTGGATGGCCAAATGGTTAGCACGTGTGCATTGTATCATAGATCTGTCATTGAGTCAACTGGCGTGGTTTTGATGATTCCCCGGTTGTACGTGATCAAGTGTAAGGTCACCTGTCCTCTAGTTCCTCCCACTGCTAAAGACTCCTACGTGCAAGCAAATTATTGTAATAAAATTGAACCATGTGTTAGTCCCAAAATGACCTAGCTTGTGTCGAGTGGCATTAAACCTGGTTTCTCTCTTTTTCATCCAACTGAATCTTAGCCAGGATGTTAAACCCCAGTTTTCTCTCTCTCCCTCTCTGACTGTCTGAAGCTCTCTTTTTAACCACTTCCTTCTAATGCAACACCAGGTAAACAGTTAGTAAAGAAGAAGTGTTATATAGTGTTCTATATTTCAGATAATAGATGAATGTATATTATGTGTACATGGAGGTTTATCACCAGACATTAAAACAATAGATCAGATTAGAACTATAGAAAGAAATCAAGAAATTCCACATAAAGGAGCTTTTTGTGGTATCCTTTACAAACCTACATTCTACAATATAATCAGGGACTGGGGTAGATCCTACAATATAGTCAGGGACTGGGGTAGATGCTACAATATAGTCAGGGACTGGGGTAGATTATTATTGTTATTATTATTATTACAGCATATTTATAGTGCACCCTTTTATATAACATGTTCAGGGGCACTTTACAAAGTGACAATGTAAATCACACATAAACAACAAGATTATGGGCATGTTAACGATATAGTCAGGGACTGGGGTAGATTCTACAATATACTCAGGGACTGGGGCAGATTCTACAATATACTCAGGGACTGGGGTAATCTTGACAAGACTGTACTTGAATCCCAGTAGGAGCTGAGAAAAAGCCTCAGGACTTTCAAAGCACAGTTTTTAATTGTAAGGGGCAGCTCCCCCAGGGCTGTCATGAAAATTATACCCAGTCTTTAGAATGGGAAGAAAAATCTAGATCCACTCAAAGATTTAAAAGATGATTTGACATTTGAATATATGATAAAAGAGATCAAAGTTATTGTTAAAAATAATATGTAATAATTATTCACAACATATGTAAAAGTAATTTGAATAAGTTGTCAAATATATTTGTGAAAAACTTAACCTAAGAATTAGATTTAGTTTGGTCAGATCCAGAAGATGTGGAGACGTGGGCTATGAGTCCGAGAGGAGCTGGCTGGTTATTTGGGGCTAAAGTTACCAACGAAGTAAGATATTGACAATTAATATAAGCAGGACCATTCCTGGTGGGACAACTGCTTACCCGACGATATTGTGTAGCACCATGGGCCTGTCTGACATGGAGAGCGGGGTAATGGCAGACCGGTCGCCACATCCTACATACGACCCATGCATCTTTTCTTACTACATATTCCTGTAGCCTTGTGATCGTCTAGAATTTGTCTTTAGCTGTCTTTACTTCTGCTTCACGTTGTGTGTTTGCTTCTTACTGGTTTCTTAAGACGTTTGTCTTACCAGGAATAACAATGCAACAGTTCGCTTCTACATTTTATATATATATAGCCGAATACATGTATACGAGCATAATAGATAACAATACTAGCTAAAACCATTTCTCCACCCTAGCCAGCCTCGCGGCTGTCTAGGAACTCAGATGGAACCTCTCTGGAATCTAATGTAAGTCTGCTTGAAAGTTTCAAATAGATATCTTATATAGCACTCACGTATATCATGCATAACAAAGCGTGTTCATGGCCCTGAACTTGTGTAATTAACAAAATGATTGGTTAAATTAAACCCAATGACGCAATAGTAAATTTCCATGCACGTGATATCTCGTGGTATTTTAGGCAACACAAATAAAATAACTTGTTTCGCGTGCAGTCTATTTATTAGTCTTGATGAAAAAAAATAAATATGTAACGCCCGCCCGCACATCGACAAGCAAGTCGTAAAAAAAATATCCCGCATGTACCTACATCCGCCATACATGTATATCTATTCAAATGTATTAAAACTGATTCAGATGAACATGCTGTCTTTTTTATCCGAACAATGGCGAAGTTTGGCAGATTTGCCTTTTTTATTGATATCGAAAGAACCTCCATTTTGTATCACGTGATATTAATTACCTCCCCTGATAAACTAGAATTTGATTCGTGTTAAAAGTCATTGGCGACAATATTTCAATCATTCGATCGTAATCGGCTCATTATTGCCGGCTTCAGTCGGTCCTTGTTTGGAAAATCCTATTGATAAAATAATGAACCGTAGAACAGGTTAATTAATTATAGCTAAGAATACGATACGATGACGATAGTCGTCATAATGCATACCTTAGAATCTGGGTCATTATTAGCACATTTACGGTAGTTTCGATAATCCGGAAAATAATAATTGGATTACCGATTTGATGGTTTTACTGACCAGTTGTTAGTTAGATTTAAATAATCATTCAATATAAACACCGGATAGAACACCGAATATCCTGAGAAACACACCGAATATCCCAAGAAACAGTATTTCCGGCAATCTCCAATACCGATGACACGGTGTGACATGCATTGGTTGGAATTCGGTAAATAATTATAAATAAACTGGCGATACTAGATTTAGTTTTAAATACTGTTTACCATGATTATTATTTTTGATACACCTGGTGAAAGAGGCTTAGTTTTTAAAAATATTGTTGTCTTTATGGAGGGCTATTACATAGTCGTATGGAATTTTATTTTAAACCAATTTCAATTATGTGAATTAAATATGGAAAATTATTTTCCTTTCAGTCAATGTTCAGTCTCAGTGTTTTAGTAGACTTGATTTTGGGTTTATGTTTTAAGTATGTACAATAAAGTTGAATATAACGGAAAGCAAAAACGTAAACAAGTAATGACTTTCTCATTTAAAAAAAAAAAAAAGAAAGACCGCCCTCCCGCCCCAACAATTTTCAGCAATAGCCAAATTTTATTTTGCACCATCAATGAGTAAAAAAAAAAAAGAAACCGCCCTCCCTCCCTACAGTTTCAGCTGTCAGTTGCCCGAGAAACAAGACATTTATTTTGTGTGGCCTTATAGACACATGTTTTGACTAAATAACTCTTTTTATGTGTCAACCCATCAGTTATTAACTAAGTTGATTTAAGTACAATTCTACATATGTGTAAATCTACCAACTTGCCAAAGATTTAATTAATGAAATATAATATAATCTTATTCCTCCATTCCTTGCCTATGAATTGAAAACAGTGTCGCAACGACAATATTTCTACAATTGGTCGGTCGTTTGGTGCTGGTTCATTACTCAGGAGAACCTGAGTTTAATCCTGGTGTTGCTGGAAAAGCCAAAGGAACTTTTTCTACCAACATCGGCAAGGAAAAGGGATCAAGTTGTTTGAACAGACAAAAAATCTGAGTAACCATGTATATCATAGGCAGTATGTTAAAGATCATCTAACAGATTGAAATTAGAGTAGGACTTAGTGTAACCTTCCCGCATTATTCAAAATTTTCTTTTTTCTGGAAAATTTGAACAGATCTATAGATTTAAATTTATTTCAATATTTTTTTGAATTGATGAAAGAAGACTGATTTTAAAAATATGCTTCATGTTTTTTATTTTATTTTTTTTCAGTTTGTACATATCAATAATTTAAAGTTAATATGTAGAGCTCATCAATTAGTACATGAAGGTTTGTTACATTTTATATTTTGTCAATCTGCAATAGTCATGTGTGTTGAGAACAAAGTACAGGATTTATTAAGCCCTGTTTCCACTTGTCAAGGTTAATGTTTGCAGGACAGACAATACATCTACCTAGTTGGATATCTAGGTACAAAGTTCAAATTGGTGCACATAAAAGATCCCTTGGCTACATGTATATAATTTTACTGTCCGCTGATATTTCAATACTTGTAGTCAATGTGAATATCAAATTAATGATCCTCTGGCCATTTGTATATTAATGTGGTGGCTCATTGAGTAAGGCGCAGACTCACCAGCAAAGATGTCTCAGGTTTGATCCTGTCTGGAAAACGACCCTCGTTGGTTCTCTCCTGGTTATCCCCAACAGCTAGTCTGGAAGTGACCGGGTTTGTGTTAAGTGGTTGGTTGATGTTAAACCCATTTCCCCCTCCCTCTCTCGGAAGTGTCTATTAATATCTTGCTATAAATTTTTTTTTCTATATTTACAGGTTATAAGTATATGTTTGATGAGAAATTAGTGACTGTGTGGTCGGCCCCTAATTATTGTTACAGATGTGGAAATATAGCAGCAGTTCTCTCCTTTACAGATTCTGAACATAGAGAGGCTAAACTCTTCCGTGCAGTTCCAGATAATGAAAGAGTTATCCCCCCCAGAACACAAACACCATATTTCCTATGATTGATTCTAGCTTTAGAGACTGTTATCCAATAAAAACTGTTTTAACAAATTCATATATGCAGAATGATATTTATTAAATGAGGACATTTTGTAATTTGTTTAACTCGTAAAACATAAATTGCCTCAAGATTCAAATTTTTCAATTGATTGAAAAAAAAGAAATTATTTTAAAATTATGTCAGAAGTAAAAATAGAATATGCAACGTGTATCAAATTGACGTAGGTATTTCAACAACAGACGAGAATTATAAACTTCATGACATTATGGGTATTATAAATAAGAAAAAGGTATATAAAGCTTCTATTTACTATATGATAATATTCATTGACTGTTGACGTTCACAATTCTGCTCAAGTGCTATCATCAGATGAAATGCTTAATAACTTCTCATTTCACAGTTAAGTATAGAATTTGTTACAACCCTGAATGATTTCTTAGAAATAATGTTTTTTTTTTTGGTTTTTTTATTATGTATTTTATTTATGTATGATATCATTTAAGAAAATCTAACATCTCTCATTAATACATTGACTCTGGGACCCAGCTAGTGAAAATACTTGTTCATTGACTCTGGGCACCAGTTAGTGAAAATACTTGTTCATTGACTCTGGGCACCAGTTAGTGAAAATACTTGTTCATTGACTCTGGGACCCAGTTAGTGAAAATGTTTGTTCATTGACTCTAGGCACCTATAAGTGAAAGTGTTTACTCTTAGAGAGCTAGCTATTGTTCATTGACTCTGGGCACCAGTTAGTGAAAATACTTGTTCATTGACTCTGGGCACCAGTTAGTGAAAATACTTGTTCATTGACTCTGGGCACCAGTTAGTGAAAATACTTGTTCATTGACTCTGGGACCCAGTTAGTGAAAATGTTTGTTCATTGACTCTAGGCACCTATAAGTGAAAGTGTTTACTCTTAGAGAGCTAGCTATTGTTCATTGACTCTGGGCACCAGTTAGTGAAAATACTTGTTCATTGACTCTGGGCACCAGTTAGTGAAAATACTTGTTCATTGACTCTGGGCACCAGTTAGTGAAAATACTTGTTCATTGACTCTGGGCACCAGTTAGTGAAAATACTTGTTCATTGACTCTGGGCACCAGTTAGTGAAAATACATGTTCATTGACTCTGGGACCCAGTTAGTGAAAATACCTGTTCATTGACTCTGGGCACCAGTTAGTGAAAATACCTGTTTATTGACTCTGGGCACCAGTTAGTGAAAATACATGTTCATTTACTCATGGACCCTGTTAGTGAAAATACCTGTTCATTAACTCTGGGCACCTGTTAGTGAAAATGTTTGTTCATTGACTCTAGGCACCTATAAGTGAAAGTGTTTACTCTTAGAGAGCTAGCTATTGATCGTAACTATGTATATATAGTAACCTTGGCTGGCTAACAAAGAGTGGTTTTGAAGGAGGATTATCTATCAGACATCCAGGGTTTTTAATGTAAAGGAGAGATGATAGATATCTAAGAATGGAATGATGTATATTACTGTAAATACTGAGTTGTACAGTATATTGAAAAACACACACCTATATCAGTTAAACTTACTCATCAGCATTTCAATTTTACAGACAGCATCAATTATTTCATGGCTTAAAGATACATTATGATTTAGAGAAAAAGCTGGTCGTTCTTACTATAATAGTTCAATAATAGATAATGCAAAATGAATATATTGAAAATTTCATTCAAATTACTTGATTCTGAGCCACGTTATCACTGTTTGTGGTTTTGACAAGATGTGTGCTTTGATTGTTTATTATCGTAACTACAGTACTGGTTATTCGAGACTTATCCTCGCGCCTCCATTTTTTAAATTAAATCATCAAATTTCTGAACCAAATGGCCTAGAGACTTGATTATGGTCTTGTCATGTTAATAAATGTCGAAATAATAATTTATATAACATTTAAGGCCTTAATAAAGACCTGCAAAAGGCAGATTTATTTCTTGAATAATGAATGATCTTTAATGACTGCTTTAATAACCTTTACAGGAGGCGATTCCTCAATTTCCGCCTTTACTTTTTGTGTTTAGATCCTTGCTGCTGATGTCACATCTGTAACGGTTCTAATGACGATAGCGTAGGAATTGTTAGGAGATATTTGGAAATTTGCTAAGATTTTTGAGGTGGTCAGCATTGTCTGCACCACAAAGTAAAATAAATTTTCCCTGGAAATCTTAAGTTCGAATTTTGGGTCTGCAGAATCACCATTGTATAGCATTATCGAAAAGAAGCTAATCTCACTTTCACATTCTAGTCTAGAATATTAAGATGTCTGCTATAAAAATAAATAAATAAAAATCGTGAAGCTGTCTGCTTTGTAATCGCTAACAACAAAACAATCTAATCACGCTTATCACTTGGTCATCAAGTTGTCAGTTTGTTACAAACGTTGGCACACTTAAAATAATCTTTGTAAATTTTGGGCTACTTCGTGATGCTAAGGTAATGACTTGACTCTAGGCGAGCAAATAGGTCAAACAAATCTGATTGGCTGAAATGTTGTATGAGTTCAGTATTTAACCAATTAGGTAGAGCTAATACAAATTGGGTTTAACCAATTAAGTCACTTTGATAGGGAAGTCAAAATCTGACTAATCTAAGGCTAGTATTTTAAACTACACGAAAACCGAATTAAATACAATATACCGGCTTCCACCTTTATTATTATTTGTTATAAATGGAAGCTTCAAGACATTTTTATATATAATATTATCGGACATCTTGGTGATCTAGATTGATAATTTCTACACCTGATAAAAATCTATTTAAATATAAATGGACGCGTGTCTCATGTCAGTTGGTCATCTCCCGGCTTGGGTCAATCGATCATTTCCTGTCATTTGGTCATTTCCTGGCTTAGGGCAGTTGGTCATTTCCCAGCTTTGGTCTCATAGTAGGGTGAAACAAACAATTAAAAAAAAAATGAAATGAAATGGGGTTTAACGTCCTATTGTTCTGCTCCGGCTGGGCTAATGAAGATGGGCATACACCATGCAGTGTGCTATGAGGGCTATTTTGCCTGGACAGCAGTGCTATAGCCTACTATAACGAATTCCAACTGTCAAGGGATCTTTTATGTGCACACCACTGTGTACACAGGACCTTGGTTTTGCGTCACATTTGAACGACAATACATTTTCCCTTGCCAGGCCCTCGGTCCTGCACCACTGACAAGGGAGAACCACACAAAGAAAAACCTGATAAACTGTCTCAGCCAACGCAGTCAGCAGCGGATTATCAGTGAGGCTGATGAGGCTGCAGCCTCAGGCCCAAAGAGTTTGTAAAAAAAATTTTTTTAGACTTGTCTGATACGATTAAAAACGCATAGACAATGAATGTTCGGGGGGTTGGGTTTAGGCCCAACGGGAATCAACATAGGCCCTGACCCGAAATTAATTAGGCCCACGCCATTTTAAATAGGTCCTATTTAAAAACTAAATAGGCCCACCAGCAACTGCCGCCTCAGGCCTTGGTGGAGCTTAATCCGCCACTGAACGCAGTGAACGAACAGGAAACCTCCAGGTTAGTGATTGAATGTCTTACTCACTCGGCCACTGTGGCTCCCTGAGTCATTATAGATGTTTCCCTTTAAGTAACTACCGTCAACAAATATGCTCTCATTTATTGACTGAAATAAAATGTTATACCATACATATTTAAGAATTTGCTATGAAAATGTTTTTTTTATGACGAATGCTTTACGTGTGAATAAGACAACAATTAATAATTATATAAATTATATTGGTTGCTTCTTGATATAAAACACAGTTATGGATTATTAAAATTATTTTTGCCCGTCTTTATTAGCCCAGTTGGTGCAGAAAAGTTGGAGGTTAATTAAACCCTTTTTCAAATTATTTTTGTGGGCTAAACCAATGAAACGGCATCTGTGGTGAAAATATAAAATTTATTTCTATTTTTAAGAAAACTAATAAAAATGGATTTTAGATAGTGAAAATTGATTTTAAGTAATAAAAATAGATTTTAGGTGATGATATAATGCTGTATTATTAATTGTGTCAATTTGATTTAGATACTCATCTTAATTTCATTTTGATTTTACACTTTCAATGGAGTCCTGCATATTGAAATGATTGGTTGTCATGGCAGATGATAGGTCAAAGGTCATGAACTTTGACCTATTGATGTAGTATAAGAATGAAATAGGGTTTGTGTTTTAATCAGATTGTTTATTATGTGGTTGTATAATGTCATTGTTATTAATTGTTATAGAACAAAATTATATTTTATCATAATACTAGATAATCTTTGTATTATCCTCTAAACCTTCAATGTACTCCAAACATGGGTTGTCTAATTCATAAAAAATTAAAAGGCCTTTAAATTGTTTGTGGTTCTACCATATTTAGTTTGAAGTTGCAGAAACAAAGAGAAAGTTTTATAGTATTTGAGACTTGGACCTCTCGAAACCTCCCCTATCTGGTGCTCCATAGATGCCTGAGTCACATGAATAGCATTGACACCCCCAAAAGCTAGGATACAGTTTAATATAGAGAGTTATCCACATAACTCAACAGTTTGATGTTCACCAGGGATATACCGGTAGGAAATATATTCCTTATCTCTAATTTTCTTCCAGGATCTATTATAGTCAATATTTACATGTACTAAGAGCTAAAGGGTTAAACTGCCTTGCCACAATAAGTAATCTGCTGATTAATCCCTGCAAAATTAGAATAATTGCTGCCCCATTTGACCACATTGTTAAATAAAATACTAACAGAATACTGGAATTTTGTTTTGCAATTTATTTTCATTCTATCTCTTATTGCATGTTAAAAATGAAATCCAATCAGTATTTTTTAACTGAACAGGCGAAGTAATATGAGCACCTGTCAAAATAGATTGCAATATCTATATAAACTTAATCTTCAGAATTTATAAGTTTAAACCAGTTGTTACAACAATAAAATATTTTTCTAGTATTGTAGAGTATTTTAAAAACTATAGAGGTTGATGCATCATTTTTCATTCAATTACTTGACCATTTTTATTATTTCACGGTGTTAGTGCTTTGCCATTGGTGCACGGCAACCGTGATTGTGTCACCAAAG